TTAGCTCTGTTATTTAGCCAAGCAGAGAATCTAATATGAAACAGAAAGACAAGCCAACATGAACAATTTTTCTAAAAATGCCATAAATAGTGACTGACAGCTTACTTCAACAAGAGGGAGCACATTTTCATATCACATAGAGCGTGTGTTTGTTAGCCGACATGAACTGAACTACATGTTCAAAGCCAAAGGCTGTTTGAACTGCGCAAACACAATCAGGTATAAAAACAACCAGTTTCTCTATATTGGTACATTTAAAAATCCTCTTCCTCTTCACAGGCAGATGGCTCAGGACATTTGCATCTGGATGACTGCTCATTGGTGTAAGCAGGACACTTTCACAGTTTCCTGGATACCACGTAAAGATTACATTGCGATTTTGAAAAGTCTTTATGCTCTGAAGGCGTTTTAGTTTGGTTAAACACAATTCCATAATTCAATTAACAGCACTGACTTACAATATTAGACATTAGAGTCTTAATTCCTGAAGATCTACAGATCAGTTGTCCGGATGAAGGTCATTCGCCACTAGATATAAATCCTGAACAGTAGTTCGTTTTTTTTAGGAAAATTATGTGATATGAAAGATGTGAAATGGAGATGTCCTGAACTCAATTTTAAAGATGCATATAAATCTGGCTGTAAAATTCAATTATCTGACTGGAGAGCATATCCTAAGCAGGGTCATATCAGTGACCTAACACATTTCCATAAGCAGTACCAAATATGTCTTTCAGTTTCTGTCATGTGTTTCACATCAGTCATTTTTGATATATTTTAATCCTATCCACATCCACCCACTTAAACTGTAACCAATCCCATAAAGTAGTCAGAGAATTGGCAGTGAGCCAAGGACACGGTTACTGTACAACATAAGGCCTTAATAAGGTAATAAGTAGCAGTGTCAGTTATACCAGACAACAGCTTCAATGGTTTGACTTTTCCTCATTCATTTACTGCTAGCCTAAAGCTCAGTTCTCATTTTGTTCCATTTGAAAATAGAGAAATCACAGTAGAGCTGGGATTGTTTCTCAATGCACTGAATGGAATGTGAGTCATGACTAGCTTTTTGTTTCAGAAGTTTATCTTGTGAGTCATCATCATTAATGTGTAATCCACACGGGGTCACCATCACGTGCATCAACAAGCCTTTTTGTGCTGCTGCTGACCACAAAAATATGAATCAAAGACTAAAATATCGGGTCAGTTACCAAGGACACGACGTCCTGAGCATCTGAACATGTGCACAGATTCAGATGCCTCAATTCGGTTTCACGTAAGGACACTAATGGCGCATTTCCACCATGGCGCGGAGCGCGGTTTAAGCGTGCCGTGTCGTGCCGTGCCCGTTTTTGGTTGCGCTTCCACTAGGCCCGGGGCCACTTTTTCACCTCTTTTCTGGCCCGACAAAATTGTGGTTCTATCGGGGCCAACAAACAGGGCTGAGTCGGGCTGAGTATGCTAAACTAGAGAGAGAATCGCTGGCAAGGAGGCTACAACTACAACAAGATGAACATATTTGACCGTGATTTAATTGTAATACACGTTTCAAAATGATGCCGAAGTAACAACATACTGATACCGGTTAGTAAAAACCATGAATTAATGCTTTGGCAAGTTTGCAGACTGCGTGTTTTCTAGATGGAGATTGGCTAAGCTAACTCAATATATGCTCCGATCGTCCACACTCACAACAACGTCCTATACAGACATAAATAAAGCAGCGACTGTATTCGTCATGACACAGGCAGTCTGTGGTGTGTACTTGTTTAACTTTTGTCGAGTTTCTGAACATATATAAGGAGCTGTGAGCTCCGAGTGCTAACAGCTAACGGCTGGGTTGTTTTTCTGGGGTTCTCATTGAAGATGACGTCACGGCTCCGCCTACACTGCGTTACTATAGTAACTACCCCAGTTCCTAAACTGTAATGGAAGCGCAGCATGAAGTGAGCCGGCCCTGTTAAGGCCCAACGCGGCCAAGCAGTACCGAGTGTGGCCGAGGCCGACCGTGTGGTGGAAATGCGCCATAACTTTCTTACCCTGGCCATTTATTTTTTCTACTGCACTTACCAAGCTGTAATATGAAACCTAGGCTTCTCCCTTGGGTTTCTGCTGTATTTGACAGTTATCAAGCTAATTCTTAATGGCTTCAGTCCCCTAAATACTATTGTTGTCCTCGTCAACAAGTTGTAGTTCATAGTAAAATGAAAGATTTTTGTTGTCCTTTTTGTCATGTGAAAACACATCTGCTTGACCAATAACAAGTGACACAACTTGACAACCCTAAAAGCCCCCAGGACTTGAATTTGGCGTCACCTCCCTAGAGATTTGCTAATTTACTTCAGGAACTCGTTTTAGAGTTTGGGGAACTACACATTGTGCGACATTTCACAATGTTCTGAAATGAAATGGGGAAAGGGCTTTGAGAGAAGGCTCCTGACGGGAGTGAGGTTATGCAAAAGCAGTTTTGGGAGCATTGGCAGAGCATATCCAACACCACAGTCCGTATCTTAGTGATGATACCGCCCTAAAAATGTACTTGTGTAGCCTCCTTTCTGGGTCAGTAAATATCCTAGTCATTTTGGCAACACTGAGCTGGCTCATAAAAACTGCCTAGTTTTAAAGGGAAACACATTGACTGCAATCACTGTACAGAGAGCCAGTTGGCTGCAAGTGTACAACTCCAAATGTGAAGTAGATGAGAACAACAAGAACACTAGATATTTAATGCACACAATAAGGAATATAGAACAATGTGGCAATTAAAAAAAAAAAGACTAACAAACAGACTCAAAGACAGTTTAGTCCCCAGAGCAATCATGGCATTGAACTCTTACACTATTAACGCTTAGTCTTCCTCCCTATGCAATATTATACAAACATAATGTATTATGCTATACTAAATTTGATTATTTCCTGCACTTTATTTTATGTATTTTATATATGAATGCTGCGTGTCCTTGTTGCATGTTGTCTATTATGAATGTTTTGATTGCACCATAAAATGAGTAGCTTTACTCTTCTCGTTGTACTTGTATACTGACAATAAATGCTTCTGTATTCCAAAAATGTTAAAACAGAATTGGATCAAAAATTACACTATTAATCTGAATGAAGAGCTTTGCCAAACTAATACACAATGACAAGAATTCACCTGGATATAGATTTCACTTTTTTATAGGAGGAGCCAGGATTTCTGTTGTATATTTATAAATGTTTTTATATTGTTTATATTTTGGCATTGGTCTTTGTTTATAATATTAGGACTTATTATTTTGTAATCAATTATGGGTTGGATTAGTTGGGTCACATGGGTATGGGCTGCACTTATAGTAAATATAATCACCTGTTCACCTGTGTGAGATGTGTGTGGAAGAGAGGGTGAGAGGGTCGCTGTACTTTTCATAGCTGGATTATTCGGAAAAGATATGTTCCCTCAAGTTATAATAAGTTGATTTAAAGTAAGATTTTGTTCTACGCATTTTTGGTTCTCAGCATTCATTTTTGATAGCGTGTCTGAATAGGCAACCAGGCCTGACCTCAGCGACTTTATTTGTTCCTGAAGTCGCTACAACATGGAAAGCTGACAGTAATGGGCTTCGAGCTGAGAACAAGTTTTACAGTTGTGTCATGGGAGAGTGCACCTCACTGTTCAACCATACAGCTCTGCAAATACCATGAAAACATGTGTTGTTGTATTAATAGATACATATGATAATATGGTAAAAAAAGTCTGTGTATTTTGTAGATATAATGTATATTCTAAAAAGTGTTGCTCTTAATATTTGTCATTGTTTATTCCATAGAAATAGCTTTGAGCTTAATAATTATCTTGATCCTTATACTTGACTGTTAATCTGTAAATACAAAGGGCAAATGCAGTTAGGACTAAAATAACTGATTAATAGTGAGACATGACCACAAAGACTAGGAAAATAGTACAGTTTGGACACAGGGTAGTGACTTACAAAGCAAGGAGGGGTTAGGAATTATGCCTACAGTACTTCTCCAGACAATAAAAATAACAAAATATGTCAGGGAATGATAAGAACTGCAAATATGCACAAATGGTTTGCATGCAATTTGCTACATGGAAACAACTTAGAATTGAGAAATGTTAACATTACATGTATTAATATGTTTTTTATGCATTACTGTCACATGAAGCAGTTAGAGACACTTAATTGTTCCACTTTCAAACAACCCACAGTCATGCTGTTCAGTACAGATGCCGTCAGTTTGGAGCCCGCCAGCTGCCACTTGACTGACAGTAGGAGTTCACAGCATAAATAACCAGAAGCTACCAAACCGGTTCACACAGCCAGCAGTCATTATAAACAGTAAACAAAGCAAAGTCAATGTATATTCCTAAGAGGGATCGAGTCGCAATAAATGTAATTTTAAGGTCATGGTTTACATGTGAAGGTCGTTGTTGTATTGTTGAATACAGTGTACATGTGTGTTTTCAAGAATGTACTAGAATGTGGATTTTCTTATCCCCCACTTCATCTCTGACTGTAACAGAGCTAATGCTGTTTCACTTTCAAAACCTGCCGCACAGTGCATCGTGTTACCTTCACAGGGACAGATAACTAACCCAACGTTAAAGACAAGCCGGCCAAGGCTAAATACAAGCTAATTAACTTTAGGCTAAGTTGCAGTGTCGGTATTTGAAGGATTCATAGCTGCTTGGCACAAAGCCTCCGGAGGCTGCTGGTATTCAAGTCTCGCATGGCTCGAAAGCTGCTGCTGTGAGGCCGTTACAGTTAGCTGGCTATAATATATTATACATACACGTGTGAAGGTTTTTTGGGTCTTGCTTTGTATGAGCTCAACGCCTATATCTTAGATTTTAGTAAGCACGTTTTGGGGCGCTAATTAAATGGTTTTTAATACAGCGTGTGTGACTTAGCGTTAACATCCGCTCGAGCCTTTCTGCGTCATGAAACGCTACCATGGTGTCAGACAGTGTATTCAGCAAAGAAGTACTTGAAACCTACTTGTCAATGGCTGCTTCTCTGCTGACACCATCCTTCTTGAGCTGTTCGTCCGGCTCTACGGCACCTTCAGTTTTCGTGCAGTATGAGCGGAACGGGGCGGCGCAGGGCGCGGTGCGGAGCCCAGGGCGGTGCGGAGCGGCATGGAGTCGAAGAGAAGCATCAACGGAGGCGGTGCCGGAGTAGCGGGTCGGTAACCAGCTCTTCTGTCTGGAGCCGGACAGGGGACGCTTGAGGGTGACTTCAAATAACTCCTTCAGCACTGTCGAACACCTAAAATGTAACATTTCAATCCTGTCAGACAATTAGAGAGAAAGTCGTGGTTCCTAATGTATATCCGGTAGCAATTGAGTAGTCGTTGAGAAATGTCTCCAACCACGCTGACTGTCTGAGGGGCGATGACTCAGAAACACCGGCGCCCAAAAATAAATACAAGGACACGATCACGCCCCCTCGGCTCCTATTGGTTGAAATGACACGATGTCTACGCCCTGAGATAATAAATGAAGATTTGACGCTCATTATTGGAGTGTCCTCGTGTCTATCAATTTCTCTTTTTTTCTCTCTTTTTTTTTTTTACAGTAGGGTGATTGAATCGCTTTGCACATTTCCCTCTGATTATAAACGTCATGGAATGTTTAAGGGAATTATTGATGTGCTCCCCCTTATTCAAGCAACACATGGTAGGATTCTTATTTTATTCCCCTTAGATATTAAGGTTAAACAGCACTGTGGCTCAGTCTGGCATCTTGTTTTACTTAGGTGAGAGGGCACATATCACACAGTCTCCAGGACTGACTATTGTAGCTGGAAGAAAATAGTTATAGTCTTTCTTAAAAGTTAAGATAATGTGCACTTCGTATTTAATGCAGGTATGTCCCCTGTTGTTGTCTGTGACCTGAGGACCCCTTGTGTGGTCCAATGGTGTCATGTCGACTCACCTCTATAGATTGGCAGATAATTGCCATTTGTGGGGGCTGCATTATAGTGCATCCAGAGTAAGATAAGTATAGCAAAAATAAATACAGACCTGTAGAATAGATGGTGATCTCTGTAATTCACTTGCATTGCTCATCCTGCATTCTCCTTAGACAAGCTCCCAAAACGTGCAGCATTAGACATAGTCGGTCTCCTGCAGCTTCTTCGATTCAAGTCGCTCTGCTCACAGATATGTCCTTTTAAGATATGGTAAAAAAGATAATAGAAATAAATGGCAAATGGGCCAACGTCGCATACAAAGTAAGATGTTATAGATTCCATATACAGATGAAAGTATTCAAATAGAAAATACTATCAGACATAACTTTATGAAACAGACAGATATTTTTGATCATCGCAAAGGTATTGCCAAATACTGAATGTTAAAAGTAAGTGTTAATGAATTATTAATTTTCCTTCCTATAGTGATTACTATTCATCTTTTGTTGCATTAAACAATAATATAACTGTAGTATGGGAATAATATTGAGAGGCTTGTGTTTTATGGCCCCCAGTACAGTCTTTAAGGCAGTACACTCAGGTTTACACTCAGGTGGTGTAACTACCCCACTCCCCCAGCCAGCCTCTCCAATGAGCGAAAGCCAAAGAAGGGCCCGGCCATACAGACTGTGGTTCCGGCATTGGGCCTGGGCCAGTTACAGTGAATAAGGCGGGATTTAACGAGCCAGGAAGCAGAAATCCCTGACAGTTAAAGTTCAGGGCAGAAAACTCCCATAAAGTGTGCAGCAGCTCTCCACGTCCCACTTTGTGTTCACTTTCACAAGTTGCCACGAATACAGAGACAGCGGCATGATGTGGAGGTTAGTAAGCTGCACACTGTGCCTCTTGGTCTCTGCTCAGCTATCTCTATGGTGTGTTTGGGCCTCAGCAGCTGAGCTGGATGGAGAAGTGAAGATAGAAGTAGTGTACAAACCCGAGGAGTGCACTCAGAAGAGCAAAAGAGGAGATCTGATAAACGTCCACTACGATGGCTTCCTCGCCAAAGATGGTTCTCAGTTCTACTGCAGGTTGGTGGTTAGAGGAACACTTTACAGTTGATAGATATTGTCTGTACAAGCCTATTGGATGCTTTGAAAGTCAATATGCACATCAACAGGCACCTTATTACTGTATTATAGATAATTATACATTGTGTAGCTTCAAATTGTCTAAAAGGGGGTGGTGATTGCTCCATACAGGTTTCACATTGCATGCACTATTCTAGATCTATTGTATGTGTGTTGTAAAATTGTATGCCATTTATTTCATTGTTAATTGTGTAGTCCTGCTTTAAGGCCTTAAGCAGTCATCACCTGGAGTGTTAGGGACAGTATGACACATATTAGGGCAGGGAGGGGGCTTAATCTTACTTATTTACAACAACAACAAATGTCATGGTCAGGTCCCAAACCGATATGAAAATCTGTTCATGTGCGTTCAGATCTGTTCATGCACATCGGATTGATGTGAAGACTGATTGATTGACAGGATGTTGTTTCTTTTCGTACTCTTTCTCCTTTAGTCGGTCAGACAAAACCGGGCACCCCCAGTGGTTCGTCCTGGGCGTGGGACAGATCATTAAGGGCCTGGACCTAGGGATGGAAGATATGTGTCCTGGAGAGAAACGAAAAATAACTGTCCCACCCGGCCTGGCCTTTGGAGAGAAAGGCAAAGGTGAGTGAATGCAGCACACAGTGATTAAACCAAGGATCAGCAGAGGGTTTATATTAACCACTGCTAAACCGTAGATTTACTCAAAATGACATAAAAATACAGTACATATGCAGGGGTTTTTAGTCCCTATTAAAGTTCAGAATCTTAACAACACTTCCCAACAACAACAACGTGTTTCCAGATAACAGTGTTGTGATGATACTGGAATTTCTAACTTCATTTCATTTCAAACCTTTATTTAACCAGATTGGTCCCAACTTCGATACAATACCTAGACCAATGGTATGTTGTACCATTAAGATACTACGAAGAAAAAAATAAAATAACACTTTATTATTAACAGATACATATATTTAAGCAATAAAATTACAACACTAAACATTTTTGGCACCATAATGACTGAATCAAAAATTACAACGACAATAGTCTTGTTGAGGTGTTGAAAATCCTCTATACATTGTCGAACAAAGGAATAAAGCTTAAAGAAAAAACACTATGTAGATATTGTTGTTTCCACTAAAACATTGTTAAAAAGCAGGGGAAATTATCCAAGTCCAGGCAAGATGTAAAAAAGTACATTAAACTATGGTTTCACCTTTATTGTCCTGTAGCTATCCTATGGCATGCTTTTTTCACCCTGGTAAAAAAAACATGTGCATATACTGGTGTGCTTATCCCACCACCACCTGTCTCCAATATATACAGTACACAATCACCAGGTGTCCAAAACTACTTTCAAAATAAAACAACTACTCCTAAATTACAATGAATAAAAAGGTACATTTACAATAAACAGAGAATACATTTTTAACTCATAAATAAATGAATATATAGCCCCAACACAGTCCTTCAAACGGATCTCTGTGGTTATATGTTTGTGCTGGATGAGCTGCCTTCATTCTGTCTTGTCTTTTTTACAGCTCTTTAGTTGAAAGGGCATCACATCCCTCTCAGTGTTTGCTACTCATCCCCACATGGCATGTTACTGTAAGCATGCACCAAGGTTTAAAGGTCTCTACTTCCTCTTGCTCTGTCTTGCATGCATCACAACAGCTTATCAGTGTTTTACCTAGTTCATTTCCTACAAATGTTAGTATTCATAAATGCCCTCTGGTTTAATCTGGTTCCGCTTTCTGGGATTCTACTATCACTTGATTTAACTTTTTGGCTATGGAAAAATTTGTTTTTTTTGTTTGTTTTCAATGGTTCTGCATCAATCTGCATTACATGTAAACCTATCCAAGGCTGAAAACAGCTGTGGGGGGGCTTCATGTTCTTGTCTTTTTCTTATTAAATAATAACAGCTTCAACTGCATGTTGCTCTAGGAACATTATTTTCCTCTCTTGCTGGATTAACGCCACATCTCTTATAGGTCTTTACATTTTGTAGCTCTTTGAAACAAATCAATACGATGTTATCCATTTATCATTTATTTAGTTGGTAAGATTTATTTTAAATTCATCACAAAGTCTGAAAATGTACAGAACCACCGGCTCCCATTCTTCCTGAAATTCCAAATCCCACTCAATGATGATCAGTTATTCTGAGTGATAATTATGGCTTCATTCCTCCTTCCTAATTCTCCGTGTGCTGTTTCCTCCTCCTGATCAAATAGACCCGGTGCCGCCCAATGCCACGGTGGTCTTTGAGGTGGAGGTGTACTCTGTATCCAGGGGGCCCCGCAGCATGGAGGCCTTCAAAATGATGGACCTGGATAAAGACAGTAGTCTCTCAAAGGAAGAGGTGACTATAATTCACAAGCTGGTGATTATCATGGAAGTAGCTCAGACTGAAAAGGTTCTAATAACCAACCATGGTGGGATTAACCAGCTCAGGAGTCTGGGTAATAACTGGCTTGTGACGAGATTTATCTATAAGAATGTTCTCCTTTCATGGTTAGCCCTCATCTGAAATAGATGCCACTTCAAATGGGAGTCAGAATACTTTATTTATCCCGGGGGGAATTGGGTTTTGTGGAAGTTGCTCCAAATTAAATTTAAATAAAAATGTTATTAACAGGCTTTGCATAAAGTTATGAAAAATCCAACCTTAAAGGGGACCTATCATTCAAAATGCACTTTTGTACGTCTTTTATACATGAATATGTGTCCCCGGTGTTCCAGGGAACTCACCAAGTGTCAGAAAATACAACCCTCTCTCTTTTCCTCCGTACCCAAATCTCTAAAAACGGGGCTACAACGGAGCTGATCCAGATTTTCATCCGCTGTGACGTGTCCATCCGCTGTGACGTGATAGCGGCGGCCAGGGCCGTATCCAGGATTTCCTAAATACCGAGGTCCAAACATGCTAGGGGGGTTCGGGGGTATACTCCCCCGAGATTTCTGGGATTTTCATGATCTAGTTAGGTGCTTTTTAAGTCCTGTGGGGGGTCACAAATTGGATAATATATCGATTTCAAACCATGTCAGTGGGCTGCAGCATAAATTATTTTGAATCAGTTAATTTTTACTATTATTGATCTGGACATGCAGAAGAGGCTAAAATGATCACAAAACATTGTCAACATTCATTTTCCATGTCTCTCTCCTTTCCATAACCTGCCCCCTCTCTTCCATCTTCTTTAGTCTCTCTGTCCTCTTCCTGTTCATTACTCTCTCTGTCCTCTACTCTTTCTCTTTGTTCAATCTCTCCCTCGTTGTTCACTTTTTGCTCCTTCTCACTTGTCGCTCCTGCCAGTCAATTAAAAGTAATTCAGCCATTTAGTTCATTTCACTTGTTTGTTTGCATTATTTCTTTTATTAAATCTGTTTTGTTTGATTTTCAAAAGAGAACAAAGATGTAAGCAAATTGTGTTTTATACAATTGTATGTTATTATGACATCATAACTGCAATAGATGTATGTTGTTTAAAAATTATGCCTATTGTCTATATTGTAAATGAAGACTAAGTTATAGATAGATAGATAGATAGATAGATAGATAGATAGATAGATGGATAGGGTTATTAAGCCTACATTCTTTTGTGTGACTGTACCTGCAGTTCCTCCCTGACTTCCATCACTTTCTCTCTCTCTCTTTCTCTCTGTCTGCCCTGTCTCTTCCTTACCAAAGCTGAGCTTCGACTGACGTAGTCTTTTCATTATATCTGAGTCAGTGTAAAAAGAAAACAATACAATGTTATATCTTCAATGTTTTACTCAAATTGAAATGAAAGAAAAGCATTACAACGTTTGTTAAAAGGTAATCCTTCTGACATTGGATGAATGTAATTAACTTTAGCTCTCTAGCTAGTTTATTCACACAATTTAAACCAAAGTATAGCCTATAGCTGCAATATAAGTCAGTGTGCATGTTGTCGGACGTCCACTGACTAACGTAGAGCGTTCACACAGGATCTGCTGGTCATATGATGTCCTGATGAACAGAAACACAAGCAGCCCACTGGACTCAGATCTCTAGATACCTCATCACTCCTCCGCTGCTCCGATACAAGTCCGGGCTGCGGTGGTTTGTTGATACATGTCGACTTCTTCTGTTTGCTTTAATCGAGGCTACGTAGTTATGCAGCGCCCCCATCGTCAGTAAATGGAAGTACTACAAAGAATCCCTTTTAGTGCAGTTATTTCACAAGTTTAGTTATATACACAGCTCGGAAAAAATTACCGAGGTCCGGACCTTTGTGACCTCAATGGTGGATACGGCCCTGGCGGCGGCGGACCCTCAGAAAGTTGCTATCAGAAACAATGCCTGACGTGTTTTGGACGTAATCTCGTCTTTGTTTACATTAGCAAGCCTCGCTAACACTCAGAGCTAACCTGTACTGTAGAGCACATGTGTTTAAAAAGCAGGAAATAAAAAAAGGAACTCACCTTGTGATAAACCTGCAAGAGAAAAAGCATTTGAGCTCCATACTATTTCGGAAATAATCCTTGACGTGGTTTAAACAGGATGGCGTTTTATCACAACCGAATTTAACTTTATCTCCGGTAGAATTCTGATCAGGCATTAGCTCCGCCTCCTCTTCTTTTCTTTTTTTCAAGCTAAGGACCCAAAATCCGCGTTTCTCTAACAGGGCTGCAAAAGAGGGGTATGAGCAGTATGAGGGATGGCTACAATGGGTGATCTGTTTGGTATTTTGAAAAAAAAACTTCACAGACATGTTTTATATAGGTATGGCCCTACAATATATTTTTCAAATATAGCATGATAGGTCCACTTTAAGTCACCTCGCTTAGTTGCCTCATAAAGAATAAAGGCTACATTTTTATTTGTCCTCTTATCTCACATCATAAAAAAAGACATTGATTATTCAGGCTATAAATACTACATTTAATTTATTTACGGCATTTGCTCTCTTTAAAACAGCATTGTAAAAGCAAAATATAATGACAATGTCAGTACTACAAACCACTAGGAAATATAATATTTTAAAGAGATCAAAAATGTAGCTCGACCCCAAAGCGCATGCTTACAAGAAGACCAGAATTGACTTTATCAACATTATAATAGCCTGCTGGCATATAAATAAGATCCATAACAGTCAAGATGTTATCTGGGTTGTTTATTGCACATTGAAGAAGAAGAGGACGACCTGCTGTTGATACCATTTACAGTTTTATTTATCACCCATATAAGTGTGTTGCCCTTTAGATCATAACAGGGGTGTGTTATGTAAAAGCAGTGTTGTAATAGTACAATAAATGTCTGTTATTTATACTGAAGGATTATTTTTCTCTTCAGGTAAAGCAATACTTGCAGCTGGATTATGAAAAGGATGGGAAGCCACGTGACGCCGCTTTCTATGAGAAGATTATGGCGGATATTTTCCGCAAGAATGATCAGGACAGCAACGGCCACATCAGTGCCAAGGAGTATAACATTTATGGACATGATGAGCTCTAGAGATCCTGCGGATTTAGGTTATGCAATTAGAGAAAAAAAAGAACATGAATGGTTCGGGAATAAAAGCCATGTTCACATATTCTTACAATGATGCAACGGTATCAAGGGACATTCTAGGTAAAAAAACCTGATTATCCAAGAGTTTTATTTTTCTTTAATTTGATAATCTCTCTGTTTTTTCACATATTTCACCCTTTTACATTGTTTTCTGTTAAATGCAGATGTTCTTTTTACTATGAGAATATTGTAGTGGTGCATATTACAATGACACACAAGATTGACAATGTTAGCCAACACTTCAAACCCCTAAATGGTATTTAAATGTTGTTTTGGGGCGGCATTTTTCCTTCAAAAAGAAAACAGGAAGTAATCATGTTGAGGTATTTGGAGTTCCCTATATGTACTTTCCATATAACGTATTTCCAAGCCAAATAGTAGCCACTCAATTTTTTATACGAAGTATTAAACTATGCAAGAAACTGTCCAACACCTGGAAATGTGTTGATGAAAAACCACTACATTTTATGATTTAATGTGTTTTATTTCTGTCTTTAAGTTGTGTCTTTTGGTGATTAAATTTGCAGAAGAAAAGCCCACAGTATTGCACAAAGTTGTGGCTTTGAAACTGTAACATGACTGTCATATGACATGTTGGTTTACCCGCCACAAGAGAAAGATCCTAACTTGTCTTCCTGTGAAATTCCTGCCCTCCAATCTGCAACATCACACCAGTGCGCGATATATATATATAGAAGCCCTTAGAAGCAAATGACAAAAACATTTTCTAAGCCTGATCTAAATTGTTTTTCTTTCCTGATTTATGAAATAAGAACATGTGGGAAAAAAGGATTTGCAAAGACAACGTTTTCCAAAGTAATTATGAATGCCTTCGTTCCTATTGAGAACCGACATGTTGTACCATATTTTAGCCTCTTGTGGCCGGAATTAATATTACAACAACAAACTTTGCCAAAAATAAAATCACCTACCAACATGTTTGCTTTTCACCTATTCACCGATTTAAAAAACAAAGAAATATGAACCTGACAAAACATTTGACCTACTTGATCCAAAAGGGAAAAAGGGAGCTGTTCTTAAGTCATTAACAGGAGGGACTTCCATTTCACATTGCATCAGCTGTGATTGAGAAGTTTGAATACAGTTTGTGATAAAAATGCACACAGATAAATGTTGCGGTGTGTCAGACCCATTTACAAGTTTGTTTACATCTTTAATGTGGTCCAAAATAATGATATTGTTGTATCCAGATTAACAGTTTTTGTATTTTGTAACACAATAAAGAAACCACAGTGAATGTGGAAAACAACAGTATGTTATGTGTGCTTCAGATTTGTTTAAGTATTGTAAAATGGATTCATGGACTTTATATTGGTGTATACACACAGTGTTGTAGTATTGCTACTTTAACGTAAATAAGCGATACTGCAGTGTAAATATACTCAGTTACAAGTAAAAGACCTCCAATAAAAATCTTATTCCAGTAAAAGTCCAAAAGTATTTGCAGTAATTTCCTTAAAACACCAGAATTATTTATTATACAGATTGGACGATTTTAAAATGATATAAATATTCATTCTTAATCTTAAAGAAGTAGAAATACACAAAACGTACCGTAGGCAGATGGCGAGTCGCTCGGCGGGTCCGATTGACAAACGCATATTGGTGTCTGCCTTTGTAATCAGTGGACCCACTTTGCCGAGCAACTCGTCAAACTGGTCTTTGCTCATCCTGAAGTACTGCTGAAACAGTACTCCATCCAGACGGAGCTCTTGGACCAGAATGTGGTATTCCCCCCGTTGCTGACGTTTTTTCTTTATGGAATGTACCCAACAGCGACGCACACCACGTCACCTCCAGCGATACAGTGCATAAATCAAAGCCACCCTTGCTACCAAACCGGCATGCATTTTGGCTATAGTGGAGAAGAAGAACCAGGCTTTTTTGCTTTCTATGTCCGGGGCGGGACATTCATGTGATTGGTTGTTGGTCGCGTTTAACCCCCAAGCTTCAGCCACGCCCACCACCAAGCGTCAACGCACGCCGCCGGGCCATTTGTTTTTGTCTTTGAATCATGAAAATAGATAGTTTTTTATCATGGGTTTAAAAACTAAAGTATTGCTTTTAAAGATGAGATTTGTTTCCAACTGATTTTGATTTCAAACTTTTTCTTTTAACAGAATGTTGGTACCGATGAGGGCTCGGACTCAGGTGGTGAGTGGAGCGAATATGTCCCTTGGCAGAGCTCCTCGGACAGCGAAGGCTGCAGTAACGGTGAGGGTCCAAGTCAGCCGCCAGATCATATAGTGGCTAAAAATCACGTAAATAAGATTGGCACCAGCCACCCTCAAAATGATGCTGATGAACAGAAAGTTGAGAAAGATGTTGAGAAGGGGTCTAAAATAACAGTGAAGAGCTGCACCAAGGGAGACAAATGAAAATGGAACAAAAAGTATCACTGCATCTATTGCAAACTCCCACAAAGTAAAATTGCACGTCATTTGGAAAGAAAGCACCACAGAGAAGAACAAGTTGCAAAAGCAACATGCTTACCAAAATCCTCCAACAAAAAGACGTCTGTTGTGTGACGGCCCCAGAGCCTGTGGCCGGTTAGTGTGCGTTTGTGTTGCAGGTCCTGTGATGGGGGTGGAGCTGAGGAGGCCAATCAGCTTAACTGGGGACACCTGGCCAGCACCCCAGGTTCTACTTAAGCCCAGCTGCCCGGAGTCACCGGGGCCATCGCGACTCTCTGGGGCTGACGTGGGAAACTCTCGCCGGGATCCCTTCCCCTCGCCCAGCCTCTCATTTTACGTTTAGAAATCGTTCGCAGAACCCACTGCAGTGTCACTTTCTGAGTTGCCACAAAAAATGTGCCGTTGTTTTTTTGGAAACCCTTGTACGTCTCCATCTCTTTTCGTTGTGGCCTGCGAGCCGGTCATAACAGTTGTTGGATCAACTTCGTTATAAGGGTGACTACAACCATAACATAGCTGTCTTGCAGTCAGGACAAGGGGAGTTGGTGACTTCTAGGCAACCATCAGAAGAAGCGGATCCACGTGGATACTTGCCCTGCAACTATTGCTACGGGTTTTTCATAAAAAGTGAGCTGTGGAAGCATGTGGCCTACCTCAGGAAAAATCGCGGAAAAGGAACAGAGTCCAAGCTGCAGCTTCGTGTCTTGTTCCTGTTAAAGGAAATGCAACAGAGAGATGTTCAAAAATACTTTCCAGAATGCTGCAGGATGACGTGTCTCGAGGTAAAATCTGATCCACTTATACAGTATGTGGGTATGGGGACAGATTGTTGGAGAAGCATGGTAGCGATGCTTCTAAAGATGGGTATGCAAGTCAAACAATGAGGGAACTGGGAAGGTTTGTCATAGCTGCAAAGACACTTAACACATCGGTGAAAACACTTCAGGATATCTTGGTTCCTCCGATGTTCAAGTTGGCTGTTGATGCAGCTAAAAAGGCTTCTGGCTACACAAAAGCAAAGTTCCGTTATGATCGGCCATCTCTTGCTCTAAAATGGACACACTCTGAAGACACTTGGGGATATATTAATAGGGCAATATGTCAAAGGAGAAGATGAGGCAGCTGCCAACAGGGTGAGGAGCTTCCTGGGTCTAGTCAGCTCAGAGTGGAACCATTATGTTTCACATAGGGCAAGGACTAATTTAGAAGAAAATAAATGATTCCTCTCACTGAGGATGTACTCAAGCTTCAGAAATATTTGAAGTCTGTGGAGGAAGATGCAAGCGAGAAACTCGCCGAAGGTCCTGATCCCAAAGCCTACAGAATGCTGAGTGAAACCATCCTGTCACAAATCATACTGTTCAATCGCCGGCGCCAAGGCGAGGCAGCTAAAAATTCTGCTTGATACTTATCACAGCAAAAACACAGAGGATTTGAATGAGGATGTGATGCAGTGCCTTTCCAAATTGGAAAGAGACCTGAGTAAGGAGTTCACAAGAGTTGTGATTAGAGGGAAAAGGGGTCGAAAGGTACCTGTGCTTCTGACAAAGCAGATGACCAAGTCACTGGATCTCCTTCTTGAAAACAGAATGCAAGAAAATGAAATTCTAGAAACAAACATCCATGTCTTTGCTAGAGCAAACTCAGACTCCAACATCCGAGGTTCGGACTGTCTCAGAAAATGTGCTCAGTTGTGTGACGCCAAACATCCTGAGACCCTGACCTCCACTCAGCTGAGGAAACAAATAGAGACTCTGATTCAGATAATGAACTTACAGGATCATGAGATGGATCAGGTTGCTAAATTCATGGGACACGACATAGCGAGTACTACCGCTTAACTGAAAACACTATGCAACTGGCGAAGATGAGTAAACTCCTTATGGCCATAGCATTGGACACCAAAGTGTACAAGGGGAAGTCTCTAGATGACCTTGACTTGGACCTAGGGAGTGGGTATCTATCTCTGTTAGAACTGATATGTTTTTATCGGAAACTAGTAGAATAAAAATGTTTATCTTTGTTTTAATTGCAGTTGCTTTGTCTCAACACGATAAAGGGGACACATCTCCTAGGCAACGAGATGGTAAGAAATTCACGACAGAACATCACATTTCATTTAGCTAATGCTTTTATCCAAGGAGGTGTCAGGGTTCATTATTAACCTGTTAAGCCCCAAGTCTGTTTTTCAGGCCTCAGGCTCGAAAATGACATTCCCAGAACAAATTACCATAACTTCACTTCTAAAAGGGGTAAATTAATAATCTTTTTTCTCAAAGCAATGATAAACCTGTGAGTTGGATGTAGAAAAGTCAGAATCAATATAGAATTGTTTTATTTTAAAGTAAATTCTGTATGTAGTATGTACGTATATGTGTGTGTAATCAAATGTACGTAAAGCTAAATCACATGCTTTTGCATGAGGCACATATCATTTGTCTGTCTTTGATATATATATATATACCTATATTCCCTAGGTGAATGAAGAATTCCTCAGAGTAACCACAATACCCCTTGAAGCAAGGTTCATGCAGAAACTTGACGAGAAGTGCAGTGAACTAATTCAAGTCGTCACAAAGAAGGGTGGAGCTATCCGGGAGAAGACAAAGCTCCTGGCAATTGTGGAAACGGTATGTACAGATGTTTTTTACTTTACTGCTCACTTACATATATGCCTCAATAACAATAGATATATTTTTCAATACATAATCAATTATTTATAGCATTGGTTTCTGCAGGTCTCCCTTGAAAAAGAGATCGTTGATCTCAATGGGATTTTTCACCTGGTTAAATAAAGGCTAAAGAAAGAAAATAATTGGTCACTGATCCGACACAGCAACCTTTTAGCCGGAGGTTTCATAGACTTGGCACATTCATTCTTCATGTTCATGTTTTTCTACATGTTTATAGGTGCTATTCCAGCTAAGGCTGTCCACTTTATATGATGTGTGTTACATTTTACATAACATTTTAGTTATTTAGCAGGTGCTCTTATCCCGAGTGACTAACAACAAGTGTAATAGGAGTACAAGTCAAATTCAAATGTCACCAAAACAGCGAGTAACCAATAGGCAGTGCTAGTAGTGTTTAAAGACGTGCTCAGGCAATAGCTACAGACAAGAGCCAAAGCAATGCATCACGATACAATTCCTTCTTACAGCCAATTATGGCCTTCCAGGACGTCCACGATATGTCTTAACAGTTAGGCTATTCATCTGGGGGGAAACCCGAGCTATATTGATTTCAGATTCTTTTTTCCTAAATTATTTTCCAGGTGTCGGAGAAGGAAGAGGCTGGACAAATTCTTCAGCGGAAAACTATCGCAATCTTCGTCATCAGAGATGCACAAGCCGCAACCAAAGACATTGGCATCATACTTGAGGGACAAGAGGTTGTGAATAAGTTGGCGTCTGTTGCAAATGCTGTCGCCATTCTCCTGGGCTTCCTTTATGCTCTCAATCTGGAATATCCCAAGACATTAAAATTGACATTTGAATATATCCAGAAAGTCTTCATGGAGCTGGACCCGAAAGGCATGGCCACCAAGGTCAAGAAGCTCTATGACCAGCTCTACAATAGAGCTTAGTTCAGGTTTCCTACACGTCCAAGTTTTCCAGTCATGGAAAATGATAACAAGTCACAGAAAACGTATGTGACTGTCCTGGAGAATGAAAAGGTTACACACCTGTTGTGTAACTAGTTATGGTTCTTCATTCTGAAGTAGAACTGTTTGAAAATATAAAAACTGTCCTACAGTAGCAATTACCCTGTGGCACTGATGGGCTCTGCTCTGGCTGGTAGAGTACGCAACTGTTTTGCTTACGCATTTGGTTTCAA